AGAGTTACAGCCAGCTGTGTTGAAACATGATGACTGTAAGTCGTTGGGTAAATTTTAGGAAAAACTTTGCAGGGGAATATATATTTGTTTGATCTGGATTCATTATTGAAAAAAAGTTTTACAGGGTTATTCACTAAGCTGCCGGAGGCAGCCAAGTGAATAACCAAGCCATAGTGAAGTGAGCTGAACAACGTTCGGCTATTCAATACGGCTCAGTACGGCTGCCTTCGGATGCACTTCAATGAGCCGAACATGTGCTGAGCTGAAGTGCAGAAGGAGTTCGTCTCAGCCGATACAACATCTGGATCAGCTGAGCCGAAGCTTCAGTAGCTCACTCGCTGCTGTTCGCCCCTATTCTCATAGAGGCCGAACGGCAGTGAGTGAATAGCCATTCTTCTCGGTACCTCTGTGGTACCGAGCAGAATATCAAATAGTGAAAAAAGTTGGGGGAAAAAAGGTTAAAAAATGTAAATAAATAATAAATTAAAAAAAGAAACAAAGATTTTTTTTTTTAAGAAAAAAAAACCAATAAAAAAACCCCAATTGGGCGGCCCAACTGTTTCCTATTGGCCATCACCTGCTAGAGTCTTCTGGCAGATCCCGGCCAATGAATAACAACTGGGTGGATAAATTGCCTTCGGCAGGCCGTTTACCCCACTTTGGCTGTCACTTCAGGTCAGTTGAGGCGAAGCATATGCCTTCAGTTCGACTGAGCCGCTCGGCCGCCTTCGGGAGCTGTACCGGCTATAGTGAATTGCCCGTACAGAAGCCCTTCGGTTCGACTGAACCAAAGGGCTCCTGCAACCGAAGCTAGCCGAAGGATCAGCCGAAGCTTCGGCTGATCCTTCGGCTAGCTTTGTGAATAGACCTCTCAAAGTTTAATAATAATTTTAATCTGAAGTTACCATTTGCATATGGAGAGCTTACAAGAGGAAATGGCTAAGTGGGAGGTTAAAGCAATTCAGATTTTGGGACTCTACCAAATACATACATATGCAACGTACAAATACACATACATACACAACTACCTTAGAATACTTGGTAAAGTGTGTTTAATGTTGAGGCAATCATTTTTAGCAGCACTCACAATTTTACTTATAGACACTTCTTAGGTATGATTTGTATGTCTGTACTAACTGCTGGGGGGAAAAAAAATTCATCATGAAATATTTGGTTTACATAAGTCACACTCTTCTTAAACAAGCTAGACAATACAATACAGTTGTCTTATTAATTGATATTTATTTATTTCAATTGGTTATGGAAAAGAACAATAATGAATAAAGGTTAAACTGCCTTTCCAAAATTCCAATCAGCAGGAGATAAATTGGTGTTTCTTTATGACCCTGACCATCCTCATGTTGTTTCTAGGTTCAAATTGTTATAAATTAAACGAGAATGATATACTATAACAGAATATATTGTATAGTATTCTGTAAAAGTATATGGTTGTGATACAATGGCAAATTATGTTTACAAAATAAAAAGACAGTGTGGATAATAAATATATGGAATACTAGTATACTATACTAGAATAATGTAGTGTATTATACCAGTATAAGAAATGTGTACACATTGATTGGTGAGCATTGGTAAAAGTAACAGTATACTATACTAGAATATATAGTATATTACACTAGTACATCATACGGATAGACAATGGAAGGGGTAGGCAACCTCAACACTTCAGCTGTGGTACTATAAGTCCCATGAGGCATTGCAAGACTTTGACAGCCACAGGCATGATTCTCAGAGGCATGATGTGATTGCAGCTGGGGTGCCAAGGTTGCATACCCGTGGACTATAAGATGCAATGCAATAAGGCTTGTTTAATGTAATAGTGCTTAGAGAAAATGTCATGTAACATACCAACTAATCAGCTCCAAGCATTCACTAGTGCACTAGACGATTGAATTGCTGATCTCTGGTTGCTTTTGGAACATTACATCATTGCTCTTTGCTATGAACAGAAAATGTGATAATTAAGTCAAAATGGTTATCAATGGTATCTAAACTTTAATTAGGAATGAAATGGACAGAACACCTTTAAAGGATCAGTGTCACCAATACCTTTGTGCTCATTTACACTGGCATACTAATATGAAAAAAGGCACCCCAATAGTACTAAGTTTATATATGATGGGACATGAATATGATATCCCTGTTACAAGGTTTAAAAGTACACTTCATTCAGGCTAAGATATTTAAAGTCATGTGGGGCATAGATTAGCTTCCCAGGACTTTTCGACCTGGAAATGTTGAACTACATTAGGTAAAACCACTGTGTAAAATCACCCCTGTTCTCAAACGCCTTTCTGCAAGTCTGAGATGCAGCAGCCACAGATTCAGTAAGCTAATGGACTTGATGTCTTCAGTACAATTGCAATGTTTCCCCATCTTGCTCTGGCAGTTTACTGAGGGTCCATTCACACTTTGCCATTCTGATGCGATGTGTTAACGTGTGTTGTGTCATGTGTTAATGTGCATCTCATTAAGACAGTCAATTAATTTTGAATCGGCTGCCAATGCTTCAGAACAGACAAAAAATGGACATGCAGCATTTTTGTTTGACGCGGCGCATCACGACAAATGCTAGTGCGATACCGAAGGTTGTGGTGTGCTGCAAAGCATAGGTGTCAAAGTTGCATTGGGGTGCCATTGAAAATGAATGATACTGCAACATGCTAAGAAATATAATATGTGTTAATGTGAACTGCGGTTCCTACTTTGGAGAAGTTAAATGGGCCCTGAATGATTTTATTTTCCTGGAATAGCTGGTTAACCTAGTTCCAGATTTGTGTTATTAGTAGGACTGGTAATGATTAAACTTTTCGTGTTCGATTAATCAAAATGTTTTCAAATCGATTAATTTCGATTAATTATAACGCACATACAGATCCAACTACATTGGCCTATACACATACAGCACAGCAATAAAGTAATAAAATGAACTAGGATCACACTAATCCAGCACGTCATTAATCTAACATGCCCCACTCAATATGGCAGCCGCTTGAGTGGGGAAACTCAGAATAATAATGTGCTGGATTAGTGTGATCCTAGTTCATTTTATTACTTCATTGCCGTGCTGTATGTGTATAGGCCAATGCTGGCGCTCGTGCAGAAAGTTTCTTGGGCAAACTCACCGGCCCAAGTGACTCCGTCGGCTAATGACGTCACAGGACTCCACCCCCCTTCCCTTCGTTAGGCGACGGAGCCACTTGGGGAAAGGGGGAGGAGTCCGGTGACGTCGATATCCGTGACGTCACCGGATCGCTGACCGGACTCCCGGAAGCCAGCGGAGAGGTGAGTGTTTTCATTAGCGATCAAAATAATTTGAATCGATCAAAAAGTTTAACGATTAAACGAGAAATTAATCTTTAATTTCCACAGCCCTAGTTATTAGCTATATTTTTTTTATTTAATTTAATTTTGGTTAATGCCATTTGACTGCCAATTTCCAGCAAACTATATACCATTATTAGTAAACATGCAAAAAAAACCTTTTTTAAAATACAAATAACAATGAAGTACAACTCCAGCAGAGATTTTGAGTGCAGATGGGTTAGCATATCTGTAGCAGTTTTACTGCTGGCTATATTTAGTTGGGTATATTTCCCCTCACTTCCTACTTGGCACTGCACCCTTTCCTTTTGAGAAACATTAATTGGGACATAAAGTGAATTAAATCTCTCCCACTGGGGCACAGAGGGTACTTTAAAGTGACACTGAACTCAGGAGTTACACTTTAAAAAAGCATTTCAAGTACCCTATTAACAAAAATGTAGTGTATTTGTGTATCACTCGGCTGTAGATACTCAAATCATCTCTGAATTCCTTCTGGAGGGGGGGGGGGGGCTACCTTTTAAGCCCCATGGTCTCTGTGCGTGTCGTAAAGTAGTTACCGCTCCTAGCTCGCTCCTCTGATGGACTACAATAACAATACAAACTAGTAAACTAAACCTGAGATTGTAGTCATTACAGGAGCGAGCTTGGGGACAGGGACCATGGGGAAGAATAGTAGCCCCCCTCCAGAAGGAAGGACAGTGTCGGCACCAATTCAGAAATTATTTAAAGAGATACAGCCGAGTGATACACAAATAAGATACATTTTTGTTAATATGGTACTTGAATGCATTTTTAAAATGTGACTCCTGAGTTTAGAGTCACATTAATATTTTAGTGTAAATTATAAAAAAAGTGCATAGCATCCAACCAGAAAACAGCTTTCAACCCTTTAGTTTAGCAAGACTACTGCAGCTGATTTCTGATTGTTGTTTTTTTTTTTATGGGTTACTCTACATCTTCACTTTTTGGACAATGTAACAACACAAGGCACATAGACCTTTATTATGTAACAGATACATGATCTAGTTACCCAGTTCAACTAATCAGCTTTCAGTAGGTTAGTGTCGTAGACTATTGTTATTTACATTGCACTTTGCTTTTTGCCATTTTAAGTAAACATACTAATGCCAGTGTAATGGAGCAACGAGGCCAAATGACGGTGTTGTCAGGGTAAGGTCATGGATTGTACTAAGGCAACATATATGGCCTAGGTTGGTAAAATGCTGGAGTGGGCAGCAGAGGGTTGATTCGTTTTTCATTATTTTTCATGTCTTCCCATTGTAAGTTTTCAGGGAGTAGGTTTTTTTCTATTGTTGGTTACATATGAAACTGTAGTTCTGTGGTTACAGGGGGCACAATGAAAGTGGCCTAAGCCTTTGCATATTTGGGATCTGGCAAGTTAAGGAGAGACAGTTTCTGCTACAGTTTGGTTTAAGTGCCAATATCTTAATACATCTCCAGAAGACTATCATTTTTCACTTGTGTACTGGCTGTGCTCATGGGGGTAAGGTTACATCTGCAAAAACCTGGCATGAACAGGCAATGGGACTGACCAGCATAGTCCACAAAGAACCTGAGATCAGTTAGATTTCCCTAATGTCATTTAAGCACTGTAAGTGACACTGCTTCTTTAAAGGGACAAGCCTAGTTTCTGTATTCTGCATACATTTATTCAATATATATTAAAAATACAAAGTTAAAGCATATTCACAGGACATAACCAGCAACGGGCAGCTTCCAGATACAAAAAGCAGCTTGTGGGGACATTTTGTAGCAGTTATTTAGGATAAAACTATATTAAAAAAAAAATCACAAACATTACGGAAAGTTTTAGTGTTAGTGAAATGTATTTGCAGTAAAGCATTGAGGAAAAAATATATCATTGCACATTTCAACCAAGTACATGAAAAGCCAGATATTCAAAGGGATACCACTCTGCTTAACAAGTGTTCACTCTTGCACAGATAGGCTAAAATATCACTTTTATAAGCTCTTTTCTTGTTATCACATGTTTTATATATATATTTATATAATATTTGATTCTATTTTTTTATTTTTTTTTAACATACGCCTTAAAGCCTTAATAGACGTGTCCCCTGTTTCTTCTTCCTCCGAGTGTCATCAGCTAAGAATGGTTGTCCGATACGCAAATAAGCCTGGTGAAAGTAAACATTTTACATAAAACCCCATCAGTTCATCAGTAAGTCCATCATGCTGCGGCTCTGTCTTCTCAGCTAGCTGGAAAGATTGAAGCCCCCAAAGTCAAAGGCTAAAATCTGTCCAAGCTATGGAGTAAACTGATTCACAGTTTAGGGGTTTGGAATTGTGAATGGAAACTTCCTGTGAGACAGCCATTTTCAATATGACTTGCAGTGCTTTTACCTAAAAGTGCAAAGTCTTTTGCTACTAAAATAAAAGGCAGAAAATAAGCATTTCTTGGTGTATTTGTCCTTGAACAAGCGCTTCTTTAAAACATCAACATACAGACTAGACAGAGCATAAAAATCAAACATTTGCGTGCACAAGACACTGCTGCAGTTAATCCTGTCTGACATTTTTTGCAGAATTTTTAGAGACCACAATGGTCAACAATATCTTCTCCGTCGTTTTAACAAAAGACATTTTCAGAGGTGTTCTACTTTCTGTGGTCTTTTTTTTTTTTTCCTCTTTTCGTTTTATGTATACATGAAACATGACCAGACTTGGGACTCACAAAACAATATGTAGAAGGTGCAGAACTAACTTTAAAATAAAAATTTAAAAAACAAAAACCAACAACATGGAAGCATAAACTCTATTTTGTGTGTTTACTCTGCATAGCTGAATTCTATGTAACGCTCATGGTTGTGGAAGGACAAGACATGATGAACCTCCACTGGACTGCTGGCGCTGCCATAACCATGAGTGTTATCACAAGTCCTGTACAAAGATTTGATGATAGAAATATGATTTTCCATGTCTTCTACTCACTAGATGATAAAAAAAATCAGGTTTTGGAGGCATTCAAAAAAACTTGAAAATAATATTAAAAATATTAATAATAAAAAAGAGATGATTGGATCATTTACAAGCAGCTCATCCTGGCATCTTTAGAAAGGGCAGCAGTGGTGGTGCTCCCATCTATAAGGTAAACAGCTGTGCTCGATTTTGAGTGGCTGAAGGTATCATCGCCCCCATTGTTGTTGACCTCACAGTCCTGACGCTCAGTGGGGATGGCCCACGTAGAGGGGCGCCATCGTTTCAGCGAGTATGGTGTCTTTACTCTCTTCTTAATCTTCTCGCCTGAGCCGGCCCGACTGTCTGATAGTGTATCACCTAAAAAACAAAATAAGTTAGGCTCAGTAGATGATAATTTATCCTGGGAAATTCCTTTATAGGGATACTCTTTTAAAGCAATATATATACCTACTATAAGAAAGATAAATAGAATAGCATAGGGCACGCATAGGAAAAGGGTAATACAAGTCACAATGGCAACAGGTTCTCAAGGACCAAGGTAACATGCTGCAACCCTATTTTCCTGCAAAGCACTGCTTACTGATTGTAGTATTCTTGAAATAGCTGAAATGTATTCTTTATCTTATCCTTCTCTACTCTGAAGCTATTAGTGTAAACCAAGGAATGTTTGTGAATCAACATGATTCTTATAGAGCTATAAAAACACCTTGCTTAAAGTGAAACTAAACTCAGGAGTTAAACCTTAAAAATGGATTTAAGTACCTTAACTATTAACAAAAAGTTAGCCGATTTGATCATCACTGTAGATCCTCAAATCAGCTCTGAATTGGTGCTGACACTGTCTCTTCTTTTGGAGGGTGGCTACTTTTGTTCCCCATGGTCCCTGTGTGTGTTGTAAAGTAGTCACAGCTTCAAGCTTGCTCTCGTGATGGACTACAATCGCAATACAAAATAGTAAACTAAACATAAGAGTTTAGTTCATCACAGGAGCGAGCTTGGAGCAGTGGCTACTTTACAACACATACAGGGACTTCTCGGACTGGTAGAACCTTTAAACTGCTCTCTATGGTACATCGTACCTTATTGGGTCTATTACTTTATTTTGCTCATAAAGCCATATTTCTATATAGGAGCAAATCTGAGGCTCCCACATTGGACTTCTGGAACAAAGATAATAAACGCTATGCTGCAATTTTACAAAGAAACCTATGAAAGCAGGGGATGCAAGAATCCCAAAGGGTTGGCTGTTTATGTCCTTTTATTGAACCATTGCAAGTAAACCAAAGAAAACCTTGAGTTATACTGGAGTCTTATTGACTCTAAGGAAGAAAGCTTATGTGTGCCTTGTTATTGTTCTATTTCTATTTTGTATTATTTTATTTTCTACACTGAACCAATCAATAGAAGTAATTAAAAAAAATAATAATAGGGTTTCGATCCCAACAGTGATGTACTACGTCATCATTAGGTGCATGTAACACTTACATTGTGTGCTGCAGTTATCCATAATACTGGAGGTGGACAAGTCAAGGGAGTTCGGTCTCTGTGCTCTCCTTGTATTGCGCTGTCTGTGTTCTACAGAAGGAACCTGTGCTCCTGTATCTTGCTGTACACACTGGCTGCTGTTGTTATTGTTATTTGAGTTTACCCTGCTGGTCTCCTGTGGCCGATCCCTCCTTTCAACTAGTCGGTCTAGTACAGACTCATCCTGCCCAGCCTGTTGTTCTCTCCTCAGCAGTGGCTCATTCTCATCTGGACTAGAGTTGATGTTCAGTCGGCTCCCCTCACCTCGGAACTGGTCTTGTGCCCTTTGGGCCATTGAGTTGGTATTGGGACCTAAGACTATGTTTGAATGCTGGCTTGAGGGCCCCTGAGAGTTCACATAGCCTGTCCTACCTGCAGCTGTGGTAACTGTCACCACATGAGGTTCTGCAGCACTCACTGTGTTCATTTTGGCCACTCCTGTCTCGACATGCTTCAAGTTAGATTTGTGCTTGCTGCCAAATTTAAGTCTAGACTCTTTGCCGGAGGATTTAGTATTTAGTTGAAGGGTGGTAGGTCTTTTGGGAAGGTTTTGCTGCTTAGGAAGAGGATAGAGTTGTGCAGGATGTATGTCTTGAACTAAGCAAGCTTGACCATTGCCCACTTGGGTAAAATCCTGCTGACCCGTGGATTCCACTGCCAGCTTAATTAGTGGGTAAAACAGGTTGGAGCTGGTGCTACTCAGAAGATCAGACCCACTGAATTGTTTGAGGGAATGTTCCATAAGGTTCTCATCAGAGCTTTCCTTCAAGTTCTTATCAACTTCTTTTGGATCTAGCTTATTAGTCTCTAAGTCTTCCTCTGTAAGCTGCAGACAAACCGGAGTGGGTCCAGTAGGCTGCATGCCATGCATAGTGTCATCTGAGTACTGGACCTCTGATATTGTGGTCATACCAGTGCTTGGTGTGAGCCCAGTAGTGTTGGTAGTGGTAGTGTTAGTTGACAAGCTGGTCACACTGGTCTCCGGGCTTGGGAGACGTGCCTGAGCCTGTTGGCGCTCATAATTAATAGAGTTCCGATTCTTCTCACTTGTAGTAAGAGGAGTGCTGGACATGGAGTTCTCAGATGAAATGTTCTTTACTATACTGTCAGGGTTGTGCACAGAATCTTCAATATAAGATGATGATGAATAATCCGGGTATGGGCCAATCTTTGCTACTCGTCGACTTTGTGATAGATTGCTTCAGCGACAAAAATTAGAGAAAAATATTTTAATACAAATCATAATCACCAATAATATAAATTATTAAATTAAAACCAATAATACATTAAACCATTCTACACAGTTTTCCTGTCTATCTATTTATCTATGAATGTTTTTTTCTCTAAACATTTCTTTTACAATTCTTGTTTTGGAGAAGACACTCTCAACATGTTATGACAGAACCCATATACATTCAGTAAAACACAACTAATACATAATTCCCAGGGACTTTTCAACGATATTACTATATGGTACTGATAATTCTCAGACCATCTCTCATTGCAATACACATACCGCTCATTCTGCACAGCTGTAGATGTTGGGTTGATGGTTGGGCTCACTGACTTATTCCTCTCCCAGATCATCATTAGCTCCGCCATTCTCTCCTCTGCACACTGTGCTGTAAGCCTGGCTTCTGCATCCTGATCCCAGCAATCATCAATTGTTTCTTTAAGTGATCTCACAGCCTGTAGAGAATGTAAATAATTTGTTATAATACATAAAGGAACAACAAGTACAAGAAATTATTTGTGCCCTAGGTGAGCTCCCTAGTTTAATAAATAGAGCAGTAAACAGTGACATAAGTATTTTATATTTTATGTTCTTGCCATGTAGCATTGCCTCATTATGAGATGCAATTCTTCCAAGATTCATATGCAGAATCCACTAGAGGGTGCAGCTTTATTCTTTACCACATAGTGGATTTCCCATTGGAATACATGGAGAATCATATGCAGCTTTTTACACTGGAAGATCTGCTGTTAACAGAAGCTGAAACTTTAACAGATGTGCTAGGGGTGGATGCTCTCCTTTTGGGGCCTTGAAGTAAAAAAAAAAACACACACACACACACACAGGTTGCACAATGTCCAAGGCCATCGAGTGCTTTTGTTCAAACCCATTTGTCCCCTATTTGTTTACTGAACTTGTTGCTCACTTGGATGTATCTAATTTCAGTTTGGTACTATTATATTTTGCACATTGTAAATGGGTGCCTTAGTATTTACCACATTACTTTTCGGTGTGATAGTATTTGCAACACTAGTATCACTGTGACTAAGACAAAAGTGATCATCACTTTTGTTTGCCTGATGAAGGAACCGGACAGGTTCAGAAACGTTGCCACGCATGGTGATATGACATGCTAAGAATGAATAAAAGGATTTCGTTTTGAAGAAAGCTTGGAGTGCTGGTGACAATTTATTCTGTTTTGCAAGGATCAGGTTAAGGGTTCATTTTTATGGCTCGGATTGAAAGTTAGATGCCATGGTTAGCCAGAGAGAATAATAATTATTTTAGGGTTACAGCTAAGTTTAAGGATACTCTTAGGATTTAGGTTTAGGTGATGTTGGGGTTATGGATCAGTGAATATTACTCCTTTGGGTGTGCCAATTACATGTTTAAGGTGTGATAAATATATATTTTTTTGAGTCTCATTAAAGGGTGTTAATACCCAAAATGGTAGTACTCTGTATATAAATTTCTTTATATGTTTGACATTAATGAGTGGCTGCTGGACCCGAGTGCTGTCACACAGGAGGACACATACTCCCCCCAGTGAAAGGAGGGGCAGGGGCATGCTGGCAATGTGAATAAAAGTGCATTCGGGGGGGGAGAGGATTTGGGGTTCAGGTTGCCCTTTACATAGACACTGTCACACTTTTCCCTTTAAACTCCATTTAAAACAACATGTCCATCTAAAGCTGGCCATACACTGCTTAGATTTTCAAAGGAACTTTTGTATGAAAGAACGCTCGTTTGACTTTCTATAAGCTGATGTGGTCAAATCGAAAATCAATTTCGGCCATAGTGATGAAAAAACTTGAAGGAACAGGATGGACATTTTTAAATTAAATTCTACAGTGAACATGGTGTTCTTTCAGGGAAACTCCATTCATTCCAAAATGGAACATTAAAACCAAAACGAAACTTCAATCAATGTTCTATTATTGGGTGGTAAAGAAAGATCTTTCATAGGAATGTTTATTCGGAAATTTACCTCGTGTGTGGCCAGCTTAAGACTAGCCTGTGACAACACTACTGTGTTAGGTTGAACTTTTTTAAATCTGACTATGTGATATTACTGCAAAATGGATAGCGTTGTCACCCTGTAAAAGGAAGTGGAAAGATAATAGACCTACTGCCAGGATCAACACATAGTACAACTACATCACGGGGGGACTCAGTAAAACAAAAACAGCTGTGTTAATGCTAGTGACAGACTGTTTCATATAAAGGTGCCCATACACTGCTCGATTCTCGTACGAGAATCGGGCAAAATCCCGCGATCGTACGAGAATCGAGCAGTGTGAACTAAGACATGCGACCGTTTCTACTGTACGGTCGCACGTCTTTTGTCGAGCCAACATGCTTGAAAACCAGCCGAGAATCGTACGATTCTCGGCGGGTTTCTAGCCTGCTAGCCCGATAGCTGCGGAACGGGCCAGTGTGCGCACGCGCACACTGCCCGTTCTGCATTGCCGTCATCGGAAGCCCGCCCCTCTGCGGGGCGGGCTTCCGATGATCGCAAGTACGATCTGCCCGTCCAAGGTGGGCAGATCGTACGGGCTTTTAATGAGCATACGACCATCGCAAGACAAAAGTCTTGCGATGGTCGTAAGGTGTATGGGCACCTTAAGTCATTTTCATTCTACTATTCCCACAATAAAGTTATTTGTGTTAAAATATTAAAAAGGATATATATTTTTGCTTTTAACCCTTTCGCTGCAATGGATGTATGTACTAAGTCATTGGCAGCACAACTTCCGGTTGCTAGCGCAGCTCCCTCAGCCGTGTGTCAGCTGTCTTATGGAAGTGGTTTGGGCTGCCCGATCACTTCCATATGTGCAGTAGTGTACAGAAAGTGCCAATGATCCTGTGTTACAGCGTACCACAAAACACATACCATATGTTGTGATGCAATAGGTTAAAAATGCTACAAGCTCAACCTACTCTATATGGATAACTGCACATTAATGGTCGAAATACCACACATTAATGGGTGTGCAGTGACCCACCACAATGGAACACTACAGTTTGAAGGAGACTGTAGTCTATCATAAAGTTACCAGTCACTGCAATATTTATGACCTGGCTTTCAATCAGACCCAGACTGGAGTGAACAAAAGTTAAGTACCCGACTACAGCAACCCATCAGTTTCTGAATGCTGTTGATAGAATTATGGAACTGGGTGGGTACCATGAATATCAGCCATATTTCCTTTTCATCCTGTTTTTATAAATTGTTATAACTGATTACAGATTCCAAAATGTTCAATAGAAAAACTATAACAAAAGTTAAAAAGTACATAGCAGGTAGGTTGATGAACTCTTGGCATGATAAACCACTGCCAAGTTAAAAAGCAAGAATGGGTCTTGCCAGAACACAGTAAATGCCCGCTATTTCTAGTTGTGACAGATTAGGGTGGTATGGCTGTCTACACCATAAAAAAAAGAACTTCAGAAATGTTTTTTTAAATTAACCCTTGCAGTGGCGCTACCACTGCACTGCAAGGATTAAGTGTAGGGTAGCCCCACTTCAAGGGTTAATAAAAAAAAAGTAATGTGCATGTGGTAAACTAGCATAAACACAATAGAAAAACATCTGAACTCACCAAGCTGTTCTCTTTCCATGCTTCTGGAAATTTTGGCCTTTGCTTCTCTCTTGACACCAAAACTTGCATGTCTTCAAACGTAGGGTGATTTCCAGCTTCAGCCTGAAATGCCATTTGATACTCCGGTACAGATTCCCCTGCACATAGATCAGTATGTTGGTCAATGCCATAGAACATTGGAACAAGTATGAGTAAAAGCAGAATATATAGTGAAGAATACCATATATAGTACAAGAAATATGTACAAAAATAATAAAAAACATGTAAACATTTTTTTATAAATGTAAAAAATTAATTTATGGCATAATTACAGGGGTACAGAATATTCCACCGCCATTGCATGTATACTTTCAGTGTCTGCAGCCAAAACCGACTCAAATTCCCTGTCTAAAGCTGGCCATAAACCAGAAGAAAGCCAAAATTGGTTTTGGAATGTTCATTAAATTTTTCAAATCAACAATCATTTTAATCATAGTAACGAAAAAAGATTGAAGGAGCAGGGAATGTGGCTTTCGTTCGGAAAACTGTATTTATTCCAAAATCAAATGTCAAACTCAAATGAAATTTGACAACTTACGTCAAGTCTCTGATAGCATTATTAAGAGGGTTATTCACAAAGCTAGCCGAAGGATTAGCCGTAGCTCTGGCTGATCCTTCGGGTAGTTTCGGCCGCCGGAGCCCTTCGGTTCAGTTGAACTGTACGGGCTATTCACTATAGCCCGTACAGCTCCCGAAGCAGGCCGAGCCGAAGGCATATGCTTCGGCTCCACTGAGCCAAAGAGAAACCCGAAGCGGGCCGAGTATGCTAGCAGTTCCTGGCCAATGAATGACAACTGGGCGGAGCCGGCCGTGATCTCACGGCTGGCTCCGCCTAGTTGCAATGACAGATCAGGGTCCACAGGTTACCTGGGGACACCGAACTGTCATTAAACAATGACAACTTGGCGGAGCCGGCCGTGATGTCATGGCCGGCTCCGGACCAGTTGTTATTTATTGGCCGGGACCTGCTAGAAGACTCTAGCAGGTCCCGGCCAATAGGAAACAGTTGGGCGGAGCTAGCTGTCACTGCTAGCTCCGCCCAATTGTTTCTTTCTGGGTTTTTTTTATTTCAATGATGTTATTTATTTGTAAGAACAATATGATATACAACATACTAATATACAGTATTTCCATTTTTAGTCAGCAGGTGGAGTGGTAGTAGTTGCTTTGTTTGGAAAAAAACAAAACAATTTACAGTAGTTCAAGATGAAATTTACATCTGGATGGGTCAGAGGAGACATTTATCCCCTACCACCCCTCCCTGCCTGCTGTTTGAATCACGTGTAATAATTGCATCCTGTGTTAAATGTATAGTTGTAAAACAAAGACTTTATAAAAATGCTAAAAGTGTAAAGACATATAAACCTAAAAAATCTATTAAAAGTAACTCACAACCAATATAAAAAATGTTAACTCTAGACCTGATGTGAACTGGAAAAAGAAGCCTATAAGGTGGGCTCCTGTACAGACTATGTTTCTGTGGCCTGTATTACAATAATAAAGATGATCAATATCATCCCCTTAGTACTGCACAGGTTAAGTGCTACAAAACAAATTTCAATACGATTGCAATGTAAAACAAAAGCAAGACACACTAGCACTGAGGCTACTGCCCTGTCGACTTAAAAGAGTAATGGAGGAAGAGTACGGTTCATATCGGTAATCAGTACTCACTCACTTATGTGGCATGCAGTGCAGAATACCGTATTTATTGAATAACACAGCACAATCTAAAACATTTTAGTGATATAAGTGTGTGTTGCTTGCGTTGATGAATGCAGGAATGTAAATGCATGAGCTAACCATTTTTGTCTAAACTGTGAAGCAGCATTATATATGCATCATGTGCATGATTTTTCCATATATGGCATTAGTGGAAATATGCTTTTAGAGACTTTTTGGTTGATAAATACGTTTTGCTGTGTAAAAATCACACGCACCTAGTGCGTGCGTGTGTTTAGGTTAGTAAATCACCCCGTGCGTGTGTTTAGGTTAGTAAATCACCCCCACTGTGTCATGTACTGAATCAGAACCATTGAATAGTATATTGCTATAGACGATTTGCTTACTAGAAACAGTACCATCAATGCAGTAATCTAGATTTCTTGAAATATGCATCACACTGAAATTATATCTATTTATATTATACACTTAAGGGGCCATTTACAGTGGAGAGCAGACACTGCTATCTTTTCTCTGCTGGACAAAGCAAAGTTACTTCACACCTGCATGTTACATTTTATTCATAAACTCAGGCCACTTAAAGAGACAATGTCTCCTTGCCCAGGCCAAGCTTTTTGTATCAGTACCCCATGATCAAGTTATACTTACTTTGTCAGTGCACCCTTTCCTTAATAGCACTAAAATCCCTAATGTCGACTGGTGTCAGATACTAAGGGGATTAGTGATGTCATTTCCACACTCATGTGACAATACTTGGGTCTAACCAATCACAGGGAAGTAGGTCACATGCTCCTCCAGACCTCAGTGAGCATATACTGCAAGCATATATACTGTACACAATTCACTACTTGGTATGTTACACCTGACAAACGGGGATCTGTTTGACCAGAGCTCCGGTGAGGCTCCTGCTGCAGCTGAAGGGCAAGGAAACTGATGTCATCTCCGCTGGGTAGTCATCAACTGATGTCTACCCAGTGGTGTGAAGGTATAGGCTACATCTACAGAGCCACTGGCCCTGGCTTCTGCTACCCCTTCACAGTAGCAAGGCCATGTACAAAGCTTATCTTATGCCTACTAAATGTCAGTGCAATCATTTCTGTTTTTTCTTGGCATAAAGTTAATTTGATAAAGAACCACCCCTTTAATGTATCAGTACATTTTCTAAAGTAATTCAAGCGCATTCAGGGAAAAACCATGCATATATGGCGAAAACCTACAACTATGAAGTAAAGTCCCTGGTGAGCACAAAACCTTGGTACCACAGTGCCAAAGCGCCAAATCCTATCCCATCGAGCCATTCATACAAGATGTAACAGGTATCCAGTTACCAGTGTCAGTAGGACTTAAGACTGTCAACTATATAGAGCTTACATATTTCTCCTTTCTACTATGTATACTCTCACCTATAAGACAGTGGTGGTCAACTTACTTGATATGGGGGGCTTAAATGTGGCCCCAGACATCCTTAAAGGGCCACACATAATACTGAGTGAATGTAATGCTACAGAAAGCTGTCAGAGACTGCAGACATGCAACAGGATATGGTATGAGACTACGGGCTTGCTACAAGAGATGGTCAGAGACTACAGGCTTGCTACAAGGGATGACCAGGGATTATGGGCCTGATACAAGAAATGGTCAGAGACAAGTCTTAAAGGCTTGCTATAAGACATGGTAAGAGACTACAGGTTTACTACAAGGGATTGTCAAGGTGCTACCATGCTGTAGGAATTTTTGGAGACTGCAAACATGCTACAAGATTTGTTGGAGACTCTGAACATGCTATAGGTGTTGTTTGACCTGCTTCAGGTGACATAGACTGGAGGCACATTTCATGAGACTGCTAGAGATCACTGTTATTACAGAATTTGTAATAGGAAAGATCACTGTATGCAGGGACCAGGACTGTAAACACTGTATGTTGTTAATGTTGTATGTGTCTGTTCTCCTGTAGAAGTATATGTATTGCTACTGGAAATGTCATACATCAGTATTATCTGTAATACTCAACAATTATCTATACCACTTTGAACACTGCTACAGAAGATGATGGTATTAAACAAATCTCTAATAATATCGGTGATGATACAAATAGTCTATGTATCACATTTTATTTATTTTATAATTCATAGAATGCGAGAGGATTTTAGGTATATAACACAACATACAAATACATGTGTAGGAATGGTTGGTATTATACAGTCAGACCCATCGTGACTAGGGTTATTGAAAGAAAACAGATGTGTGGGGGTTGTTTTTTCTTGTGCAAAACAGTACTGTGTGATTAAAATGTAATCTGCAGTATTTTAGTATAAAGTCAACAACAGTAATCCAGCAGATTGTAGAGCTGGAACAATAACAAGTAAAAAATGTATCTCTCAAAGACATAAAATACAAAGAAATGCAATAACGGGCTAATATTATCTAATCCAGCAGAGACCGGGGTTAAACCAACATTAAAATACTCAAACATCAATAAAGCAATATTTATAAAGAAATAGACAGCATAATAATGATCAGTCCACACATGATTAATGTTTCAGTTTTTGATAGATGCTAGAGAGTTAAACCACTGAACAATTTCGGGGCACCTTTAGTTTTCTGGAGAAAACAATGGACAGGTCACATTTTGCTATGTATGTTCTTTCATGCATGACAGGTCAGTTTATTTAAAAGACAAGTTCAGATTTAGATAAAAAGTCCCCAGCCCCCACTCACACCTATCCACCTAAACTACTCAAAGCTAGGACCAGTGGCGGAACTACCAGGGTCGCGGAGGTCGCAGCTGTGACCGGGCCCTGGAGTTCCGCCACTTACAAGTGGCCCAGGACAGGAGGACGGGGCCCCTAATAACCGCTCATTACCAGGATATTTAATATCCAGGTAACCGCTAATATCAGTACCGGGGTCTCTTCCTCCGGTCCTGGGCCCTTCGTGCTTCACGCTGCTCCCCTCACCTTGTTCCGGCCGGGCGCAGCGTGAAGTATGATCGAGCCGGCGCAGCAGCCAATGAGTGGAAAGCGGGGCTATTGCGGCCACCTCATCACACAGAACGGCTGCCGGCCATAGAGCTGCCTGTGTGCTATCGAAAGCTCCAACTCCCTGGGTATGAGAAGCCTGCTGTGGACATGAAGGGGGAGATATAGAGAGCTGAGAATATGAAGGGGACATGTGAGAGGAGAGTGTGGGGTCCGGGAGCGGAAAGCTGGGGAAATGAAGGGGGAGATGTGGGGAAGCTGGGGACATGGAAGAGGAGAGTGTGAGGCCAGGGAGAGGAGAGCTGGGGTAATGAAGGCGGAAGTAATGGGAACATGAAGTGAGAGATAATGGGGAGCTGGAGACATGGAAGAGGAGAGTGTGAGGTCAGGGAGAGGAGAGCTGGGGTAATGAAGGAGGGGGTAATGGGGACATGACG